GGCGGAATATATTATTTTTTATTCGATTTTTTCTTAATTGGCTCCTAGCAGCTTCTTCTCTGTCCACTTCTCCTCAAGGGAGGATTGGGCCGGGCGCAACTTCTGGAGAGGAGGCGTGGTGAACGGCAGGGTTGGGCATGGGGTCTTCTGTCCAGAGCTTTCCATCAACACTAAGCTCAGACTCCCGAACTTCTGCAGTGTATTCCAGGCGGAAGTGGCTGCTATTAAAGAGACGGTGGATTCACTGCTCCGGCTATTGAAGCGGCTATCAGAGCCTTGAGTGCGTTGGGGGTGCGCTCTAACTTGGTTATTAGTATTTGGGTTCCGGGTTACAGCGACATAGCGACATAGCGATAAACAATGTGACTGGCGAATTGGCCAGGAAGGCCCTCGTGAAGGCGGATACAGAGCAGCTGGGGGTGCCATTGATCATTTGTGGTACACTCTTGGAAAACCAGGATATGCGCGATCGCAAGGTGCTTCTGGCCGAGCGTGGACAAGGGGCGGTCCAGGGCACTACTCACACTAACAAAACCACAGCTCTCACTTTTAGTGGGGGTTCTAACGGGTCACTGTCCAATCGGTATTCACGCAGTAAGGCTGAGCATACTACCGGGCTCCGTATGTCGCAGTTGCCTAGAAGATGGCATGGAATCACCTAAACACAACACTACCTTCTTTGGTGCCCAGCGTTTGCGCGGCTAAGGTTGAAGTACTATGGCTGTCACAAAATCGTAAATACATAATGGGCTCCGGCCGTTTTATCGATGGGTGCCGATCAGAATGTGGTATCACACAGGATGATCTCGGGTTACATGGGGCTGTCACCTAACCTAACCTAACCTAATTGCGAAAAAGCATCTGTAAAGTGCAGAACTAAATCGTATTTTCAAACCAAAAAAATCTACAAAATTAAATCCGTTTATAGTAAAAAAGGCCGTTTGGTTTTTTTTTCTCAGCGTATGAACATTTCTCGAAAATGTTTGCTACAATACTAACGTTTTGGATATGCATATGTGTGTATGTATGTAAATGTAGTTTATCTTCCAATAAACTAGAATTCACAATTTAAGTATTTATGTAGATGAATATAGTATTTGAAATTAGAGCAATAATTTTATTTTCGAAATCTAACACGAAACAACAAAATGCATTTATGTATCTATGTATCTCATTCAATTCCTTCGAATAACGCACATACCCTTAGTATATGTATGTACATAGATATTCGTCATGTGACTTCCCATTGCTTTGCTTTGCCGCATGTACGCAGTGTCACCAACATTTTGCCAAGCATATCAACTGTCAGCAGCAGCAACAGCAAGAAGAGCAACATCATTATCAAAACCTCATATTATTTCGATGAAGATGATGATGATGTTATGGTTATTGTTGTTGCTGCCGAAATGATTTTGACAACAGCACCAGACAAAACCGGAAACCACACGTTCTGACATCAAAATTAACTCCCGGTAGTGCTTTCATTTCTATTTATGCACGTCCAGTGAGAGCAAAAGCGTCAGCACTGAATTACATACATTTGGATGGGGTGTTGCTTTCGATACAGTTGTACGCTTTTACCGCTACCACAAAAATTTAATTACAAAAAATATATCTGTCGTGACTACTACACTCGTACTATAGCTGCGGTGGCGGAGTCGCAAACAAAAGGAGCAAAATAACTGCAATAATTTGCTATGCACGCACGCCGCTGTTGTTTGCTATTTGCTTATAAACTCTAGTAAGTAACAAATTTCTTAACTCTTTCTCTCTCGGCGGCTGACGAATTCATACTTTTGGTAATTTTACAAAATTTAGGCGTGTACGACAGCTTTCTTACGTAGATATACATAAATATGTATGTACTTGTTTTCTGCATTTTCCTCTGTTTGTTGCAATAT